GGAACTATTGGTTGTTTGGAACTATTGACAGCTCCATGACACGCTTTACTTCCGCATTCCTCAGTTCCTATGGAAGCCTATGGGAGTGTCGCAACTCTGTTTTTCAACGGCTCTGGTTGTAACTTACGTACAGCTGGTGCAACTGGGTTAGGGTTAGTGTTAGGTGCTCTGCGCCCCGAGGACAATCTGAAACAAGCCAATTAGAGCTCAGCCTCAAGTCACATGTGTTTCAAAAGTTTACAGACCCACACACAAAACAAACGAAAAAGAGTTTAGATTTTTTTGATTTTTGATAGGTGCTAACATGACTACCAGTCAAATAGTATGACTAAATAATGCAATTTCCTGATTATTTTGCAATATATATTATACTTATTTTTAACATGTTGAAGTACGCTTCTTCCCTGGCTAACTTGATGGGGGCAGCGCCCCAGCGCCCCCTATTGACCAGCCGCCACTGTCTGTGACTAAAACAAATATAAAAATGTTCTTATAACAAACAGTAACGAGACACACACCATGAAGTTAATACAGAAGAGTGTATTTATTTTAAATGGATTTATTTATTGGTTTAAATTTCAATAGCGTGTACTTTTTTTGTGTCATACTTACTTCTGTGAATATACCGAACATTAAAATGTTCTCATAAGGACCTGGAATAAACCTACTGCATAACCACTGGATTATGGAATGATAATGATTTTTAATATTGTTTTTCTTGTATTAATATATTTATTAATAGTAATAATATAATAATAAACACATAATCACATATCTTGCTTACAATATTTCTTATTTAAATTCAAGTGAGCGTTATAAGTGTTTGTCTTTATATCTTTCAAAGACCTTGGTGTACAAATTGCTCTTGTTTTGTTAATTGTTTAAAAAAAAAAAATCCGGTGGGAAAATATTAATCGTTTTATCCTTTACATGTACTTTGTAGACGGTCCCTAGCTGGCCTAAGCGCTAGCGCGCCGGTGTTTTAGAGCCGTTATGCGTTGCAACACGAGGAGGATTAAAACAAATACACTGCGATGTGTGTTCAGTTCTACGTTCTAATGATTTTCAGATAAGCCATTTTTTATACAATTATACTCATCCACTAAGAATTTATGGATTTTTTTTAGCGGCTCAATATCTGTCTAATATCAAACGTCGAACCAACTTTATATCGGTATTACTGGCAGTCAAAGAGGTGTTTACGTTTAACAAACGTTTTAATGTTTATTAGTTTGAATATTTTATTTCTTAAAAGTACGTTATTTTAAGTTACATTTTGTAAGTATTTTTTGTCTGTAGTAGTCAAGTAGTGACTAGTATCTTTTCAATGTATTTTACTAGTGCCTTTTACTAGTCTGTGTTGGAGTTAGTAGGCTATCTAATCTGTCTCTGATGAGTAGTTACTGGAGAAAATGATAAAGATTCAAGGAATAATAGGAATAAAAATAAAAAATGTTTAAAACAGTACATGCATGTAAAGATTTGTTTAGAACAACTGCATGAAATCTCAGAACCATGAAATTGTTCCTGTTGTACAAAGGGAACAACAGAATTGTTTGCCTCAACATGAAAATTATTTATATTATATGCTACATAAGGAAATATTTTTTTTAAGGTAAGAGAGTAAAGGATTGTTCAAATGTGATTTGCTAGACATGTTCAATAAATATTGAAACTTGGAGAGAGAGTTTTCTCCAGCATGACTTTGTAATAGTGGTGGCTGTCCCTAATTAAATAAATCTTTTAAGAAAAATGTAGGGAGCCAGACAATTTTTTATTTGGTCAAATTTAAACAACTTTTTTCTTTTTTTGTGTGTGAAAATTAAAAAAATAGTGAATGTAGCATAAATAACTTATTACTGCTTAAATAAAATGCCCTCTTTGCTCTCATAATGATATGTGTATGGTAAGAAGGACTTCTGGAAGGTCCTCCTTTTAATCATCAGTTGATGTAGGTTGCCTGTGTGACACAAACATCAGGATTGGCCCAACTATGTCTTAACATTTTTCTGGTTGACACTACAGGTTGTCTCTGGCCTGAAATACATCTTCACTGTGAAAATGGGCAGAACCAACTGCAGAAAGGGTGGAGTTGAGACACTGTGTGCCGTTCATGAGGATCCCAATGTTGCACGGGTGAGACACACTGTGTCTAATTTACAGTATTGTGGTTATCTGTTTACATTTCTTGATTTCCATGTTAAAAGAGATTGACCCTTTTTTATCTTTTCCTTCAAGGCCACTCAGTGCAAAATAACGGTCTGGAGCCAGCCATGGATAAACTCCATTAAAGTCCTTGAAAACACCTGCCTGGCCTAGAGCTTGTTACTAGTGCAGTTTGGGGCTTTTCAACATTCATGCAGCAATAAAATTTACTTGCTATTAGTAATAATGGTGAACCTTAAGTCTTTACTCTTGATAAAATCTAAGTTTTGTTTGTCCTGAAAACCTGCCAACAACAGATCATGATAAAAGACATTTCATTAACACATAATCATGTCATGTCATTAGACTCCATTGCTCTGAAAAAGCTACAATGTGTAGGAATTTCTAAATGATAAAACGCATGTTTAGTTCATCCTTTACTATTAAAACATGGTTGAACACAATATGTCTGTGTGCTGTGTTTATTTGGTTAATTTATTATGGAAGTCATAATGACTTGACGTTGCAAATTCTACGATTGAGAACACGGTGTTAGTGTTGGCCTGGATATTATTTTATGTATTTACATAAACATAAAAAAAACAGTAAACTTTGATATAATAACAGTTTAATAAGAGCTACCAGAAGTGATATATTTGTGTTTACTTTTAGATTTTATAAATGTCACAATGTTGCATTCACACTTTTCCTCTGTGCATGAAATAAACCTCTGCAAAGTTGCTGCATTAATACAATCATGTTGATAGTGTTGAAACAATGTTTTGCCATCATGTTTTGATTGCCACGACTGCTGTAGTTGGAATAACAGTCGTTATTATCTATGGATTAAAAAAAAAATAGGATATTACTTTTTTTTGTTTTTTGTTTTCTACGTCGTGTACGACGAAGTCATCAGTGTAGCTTGTGGCGCCCTCTGTTGGTGAAAATAAACGCTGTACGATTGCTCTGATAACCAGCAGGCTACGTTGGTCGGGCTTTTTTGCAGTGTATTTGCGGGGTGTTTTGGACGTATAAAACGGGGACATTTCCGAAGACATCTCGAGTGGGGGACAGGACGTCAAAACCGGGGTTGACCCGGGAAAACTGAACGTCACCCTAGGTTAAATATTTTCCTTACGTATTTCACCAAGTCTTCTAAATCTGGTCTGGAAAAGACGTATTTGATCTCTTCCTGGCAAAATACATTCACTATACATATTTTACAGACTGATTTTACTTTGAAACATGAACATTTTACATTCAGATGGGTTAAAAATAGCGGAGACTACTTTATATGCACATCTGTCTAAATCCATAAAGGGGAGTACTGTAGTCTGCGTCTGTTTCACGTCGAAGGAATCGTGGAGCGATGGTTATGTATGACTTTAGCACATACTTTTATAGTCGCACTGAATCAAATACCTGATGGTTTTTAGGTTTATGGATTTGTTTTCGCTATGAACAGAGGGAAACCACACACTTTAGAGGTATTGGTGGATACGTGGCCAGCTTTTACCACCATCATTGTTCGACCAGATCCAAATGTGAGAAAAAAAACGTTCGTTATTAACTATTTAAAAAATGTGTCCAAGTAAACCACATTTATGTCAGTATCACTAATGTCTACAATCTTTAGAATAATCGAGCAAAGGACTTTATGACGAAGTCCTGAGAAGAATGCTTGCTGTGGAAGATGCAATTGACTGGAGCACGTACTTTCTAATAGGAGGTATGACTTCGTTCTTTCCCCCAAAAAAATATTATATTATTAGTATGAATTATGGTTATCTGAATAAATTCTGGTTATCCTTGTGTGCACCTTATGACATTAACTGAGCTGATTACCAGGTAAGATGGTAAGCTTTTTGAATAAGTGATAAATATCAAGTTGTGTTTGTACAATATGATTTTAATTTTAATAAAAGCTTAAACATGCTTAAACTTTATATGTTTGCTTTCTTCCTCAGTGACCTAGAGCCCAGATTGTCTGTCCTCAATGAATCACACGCCAATGTAGTTAATAAGACTTGGAAATTTGGTGGGGATGACAAAGGTTACAGGAACATCCTGAATCTCATTAGACATTTCCCCACATGTTGCATTACAGATGAGAACAATCAGCCTGTGTCCTGGGTGCTGTTATATGATTACTGTGCCATGGGGATGTTGTACACTCAGCCAGAGCATCGTGGGAAGGGCTATGCCAAAGCTTTGGTGACCACAATGGCACAGAGGCTCCATTCTCAGGGCTATCCTGTGTACTGTTTCATTGAAGAATGCAATCCGCTTTCCTACAAACTTTTTAAAAGCATGTTTTTTTCAGTGGACCCCTCATATAGGGTTGTCTGGTATGAATTTATTTGTTAGCGTGAATACTCTTGTATTCACTCTCAATACTCATGTTTTATATATATATAAACTTCTTGGACATCATCATGAAATCAAATTTGACAGAATTTTAACAGAATACAGAATGTTTAATGGAATTATTATTATTTTTTATTGATGTTCCCTTGTAATCTTTAATCAAAAGCATTAACTTCCTCTTCTCTTCTCAATCACATCTCTTCTGTGATCACGTGTGCACCGGCATGACGGCTGGACAATAAGCCCTCAATCGATTCCTGAGGGGCAACATTTTTTCTTGTTTGAGAAGCAGTTTCACTCAGAATAAAGACGATCGCAAATAATGTTTCACACTGACTTTAACTACGTGATTATGTTGTTTTTGTCATATAACTCATATAAAAAGTTGTATTTTATACAATTGAAACATTTTAATTTTAATAGTAGAACTTTCACCTAAAATGTTGTATAAATGAAGGTCAAACCACCAGTCTGTAAGCTGAGTAACTGGGGAACAACTTCACACAAATTTATTAATGCAATATCCTATCCTGAGATTTATTTTAGCTGGAAATTATATAGTTTCTCAAGAGTGTTTACATGACAGCCATAAGAAGGTAATATTTAAATGTTGTGAAATAAATCTCAAGACACTATTATCATGCTTGCAGGGAAATACAAAATGTTGGCAAACTTTGTGTGGCTGCAGTATCATTTTAATACATAATTTTATAGGGAAATCCATTATAGGCCTATGTATATTTTGTAAGGAGGGATTTCCTTTGCTATAGGGCTACATCAGGCTTTTTTCAGTAGTAACATTTTAAGTGTGTGTATATATATATATATATATATATATATATATACAGGTGCATCTCAATAAATTAGAATGTCATGGAAA